TTTTGGTAGAAAACAGCTATCTGCAATAAGATGTCAGCATCCCAGTGTTTTTCTGGCAGCAACATACTTTGTGAAGTATACTGTCCTTGTAAGAATTATCGGATGAAAACTCTACCTTCTTTGCTAACTGCAAGTATTTTACCCTTTGGCTTTAATGTTGAGCCCTTGATCATGAAGCTGAACACTGAATTTTGATTTTTAGCCTAGGACAGAAATTAAGCTCAAACAAGGATGACACAGGAAAAGATTAGAAAGAAGAAATTCTAATATTATAAAAGCCTAAATCTGTTCGTAACGCTGTATTCGCGCTCTGATTGGCTGAGCCAATTAGAGCACAAAGATGTGCTCTGACAGAAGGCAGCCTGCTGGCATAATGGTGGGGACACAGGGGATGGAGTAGGGGTGCTGAGGCCAGTGCAGCTGGGCTTGCCCCCCCCACTCTCCCTGAGCAGGGAATTCAGAAGAAGGCTGCACATTATGAGCTAAAACTACAGATTTCAGCCCAAACTTTTAAATGCAGGTTCCAAAAGTTAAGTAGCCAAATAGGTGCCTTGAGTTTCAGAGGTTCTGAAATCAGTTTAACAGAAGCTGCACAAGTTTAGCAACTCTAAGAAAGGCCTCCTGTGTTAGGTATTTAACTTTTGGCACACCAACTTGGAAATATCCTAGACAGGTTTTTACACACACACACCTTAACATGTGACCTGCTTCCAGTATTAAATCAAGCAACATTGTATCTATACCAGGGGTGGGCAAAGTCTGGCCCGTGAGCGAGATTGGGCCCATGGCAGACCCCCTTTCCCAGCAGCTCCTGCCAGCATTGCTGAGGCTGGTTTCCATGGAGACCTCAGCAGCAGCAGCAGTGCCATGACAGCACAAGGCTGGGGTTTCCATGGAGACCAGCCCCAGCAGTGCTGGTGGGGCAGTAGCAGGGAGCTGCTCTGGTGCTGGCATCTTCTGGCAGTGACAGTGTGGTCCAGAGCTGGGCCAGAGCCTCAATCTGCTGCCCACACACCCCAAGCAGGGGTGTGCAGGCAGTGGATCATGGCTTTGCCCTGGCTCTGGACCACACTGTCACTGCTGCAAGATCCCAGCACTGGCCCTGGAACAGGTCCCTCCCCGGCCGCATGCCCTGCCAGTGCTGCTGTGGCTGGTTTCCCTGGAAACCCCAGCCCTATGGTGTCATGGCACTGCTGCTGCTAGGATTTCCATAGACACTGGCTGCAGCGATGCACATATGGGCTGCTGGGAAATAGAGTCCGGCTGCCAGCTGGATCTGCCATTTTGCCAACTGCTGATCTATACTATACAATGTGATAGTAAAATGCTTAAAATACCAAAATCACTATAGTCACATGAGTGTGGTTGTCTCCTTGGACTAATATACCCTGCTTCTCCATAGAGCTAAGTCAGAGCTAGCTGGGGTATATCTACATGGCATTTCATTATGCCCTGTAGGTATAGACCATGTAATTAGTATGTCACATTTTTCCCCTCTTCTCTCATTTTTTCCTTAATGAAGAAAGAAGATATAGTGGAGCAACTTGGTTTGGCAGACTGTTTTAGTTTGGTGAAGGGGGGATGCTGCCACCCATTTATGTTTCAGAAGGCAAGGTCAAAGAAGTATGCCTTGCAGCTGAAGCAGGTAGTGGGTAAGGCTTATCCTACCTAGTTTCTGGCAAAGTTCAGTCCACAATTAATAAACTAATCTCCACAAAACTTTGATTTTCCACACACATAAGCTTTATTCATATAGTGAAGAGTTCTATCATGCAGAAACAGAAAACCTGACAAGCCTGGTCTTCATCCCAGAGTTTTAGGTGATCTTTACATTATCCAGGACATAAACCATACCACACGTTAAGGACAAGAGAAACTGTGAACTTGACTCAGTCTACCCAGGAAGCCACCTTAGAGAGCAGTGGAAAGGTGTGATGCATCTGCAGTAGCTTGTATTGCTGACATGCCATATTGCAGCAATCTGTACTAGCTGGAATTTTGAAAGCACTGAAAGCCTCATACCCTTGTATCTCATGTTCCTGTAGAGCAGCTAAAAAGGGTGAAAGTATGAATAACTAGAATGAAGTTGGGAAAGAATCTGTCCCAGGGTGAGACAGAATTTTCTAGTCATGGGAGAAAACATTACTCATGGATGCTGCTATGTGAGGGCTCAGCCTTGGACAGGAATCCAGGAACACTTCTAAACCACTGGGTGAATCAGTAAATTGTGAGCATGTTATCTTCCACCAAAAGAGAAAGATCTGGCTGCAAACTCTTCAAAACAGTGTCTTCTACCTACCAGCATCACCTGTCTTGTTCAGGCTCAGTCAAATGTTCTTTACTTATAAGCTGATCATGCCCAAGCACCAGGCTATCTTCCAAGATAAATATAAAAGCCTAATCCCAGGAAATTCAATTGCAAAACTCCCATTGGCTGAATGGGACCCTCAGAGCAGTTTCCTTCTATCCCCAGGGCAGATCTGGGCTCAGCTGAGATGATGAAATCCACACATTTTATACAAAGCTTCACATTTATCTGATGGATCTGAGAACAAATTTTTTCCTCTTGTTTTATAACTAAGATAATTAACCTGCCAAAAGCCAGGTGTCCTAAGCAATCTGTCTTAATACTTAAACATTAGGCTACATTTCTTTATGCATTAACTTTATCATAGACATAGTTTTTGTTTAAAAGCATTGCTTTCATACATTCCCCATGCTGAAATCTCTTTGATTTATACAGAGAAAGGTCTCCCTCATGTGGAAATGTTTCTAGCAGAAATAAAACAAAAGTCAAATTTTGTCTTTTGATAACCTTTTTGTTGTTCAGAGACTTGGGAATTCACTGTGGACAAGGTTCATTGCACAGCTGCTTTTTCTATCTTCTTTTCATATGAACTTTTACTATGGCACCTATTTCAAAATTTCCACTATCTTAGTCAAAGTAACTTTTTGAACAGAGATATAACCAAAATACTTTGACCCAGATCCTGTCAGACTTTAGTAGAAATTAATCTATACAGAATTCAATATTTGCAAAAGATGCATCATTTTCTTATGAAGAATTAGCTTTTCTAAAGATGCCTCCATTATTATTATGCTTTTGAATACTATTCTCAAGTCTCTTACATACATGCATGCATATGCAAAGATTTGTGCAAGTTCATTACGCTGCAAGATCAGAGTCTAAAGTTGTAATTGGCAGTGAAAGTCTGTATTGGTTTTTAAATTTACCATAAATTTTACAGATTAGTCACCTGCTGTAAAGAGACTTGGTAGTTCTATGCTTTGTTTATATAATTGCCAGATTTAAAGACAGTTAATCAAAAATGACGTTAATCTGGAAATATCTGATAATGTATCAATCATATATTTATGGTAACATTACTCTTAAATCCACTTTACAGTAAATTCTCAAAGAACATGGGGAAGCCGGTTTTGATTGTCCCAGCTTTAAAATCTTGGCTGCCTGACACATTTATCTTTATTGTGCTCAATATTTCAAAAGAGTATACTTATGCCTAGGCCACATGATCGAGACTTTCCTTTTTGACATTTTGGATTGCTGTAGATTTATTTTGTATGAGACAGAAGAGGACTAACATATTTTAATCAGTTCATAACTAACTGCATTATATTTGCCAAATTATCATTTGAATGGGAATCTTAAATTATACAAATGTAACCTTTAAATTTTTTCAGAAACAATCTATATTCAAACTGAAATTTTCCTTTTTTTGTCTCCTTATGGCTGATGTGGCTTCAGTTTGTTCCCGCTCAAAATCTTCCTTTTCTGTCTCAGACAGCTACATTGGAGAACTCTGTACAATCCTTTATGCTTCAACTTTCTTCTGTTCTGACAAAGGAACATTCAGCTTTGAAGTAAGTGAAATTTTTCAGTTGCAATCTTCTTGCCAGAAGAAATACAGGTTCAGGTTGATAGCAATTTGTGAATTAGCATATTTTTCTAATTAAATATGTCAATTTGTCATTTTGAAATGACATTTGTTACTAAATTTACTTCAGTTTAAATTAAGTAAAATCAAAATGAAATAGAAGTGTTCATATAAAATAATATCTTAAATATTTCGAACAACATTTTCTGACTCGATTTCAGTTAGCTTAAGGGGAAAAAAGAAAAGAAGTAATAATAATAAAAAACTTGGGTTGATAAGAACCAAATTTGTGTTGTTTTCTTCAATTTAATCAGAAAAAGAAAAAAAATGTTTTAATTGATTAGACCGATCTGGTCAGAATCTACAAAAAGCCTGAACTGGTAACAAGAAGCTATGTTCATAGGCATGTAGTAATGTATCACAACTGCCTGGTTCGAAAATTAACAACACAGGCTCTAAATAAGCTACAAGCGCATACGGTCCCATGGTTTTATTTAGGTAAACTGTGCAGTATTTTTTCCCCATCTCGCAGAAAACTATCAAGTAATCTTTGCACAGGTTTTCAGTCACTCTTCATCATTAGAGGTAATGATTATTTCCATAATTTTTATTGGACCATCTTTGGGTTGCCACACTGAAAATAACTAATAAGAACACGTGGTTAGCATTTTTGGACCATCTTTCTTCACTTACTATGGCTTACTTTGGACATAAATTATTTCCCTCAATGTAAGAACAATTTTATAGAACAGCTGAAATTATTGCAATTGCACCATTCTGCAAAGAACATGGCTCTTTCTCCCAACCCAGAGTTCTTAGGGCTACGAGTCAAATTAGGAGAGAACAAATCTTTAAAATTGCATGATACATAATGAGAGTTAAACATACATCAGAGTAAAAGGTAAAGGTGTAATTCATGCATGCATCTCAAGTTCACAATACCCCAAGAAGCAAAAGATCTCCCCCTGGGCTTTAATCTTGAATCTTGTGCCTGGAAAAGTAGATTCAAGTCATAGTAAAAAGGATTACATTGAATTTAGCAAGTTAAAAGTATAATATAGAAACTGCAGAATAAAAATGAATCAGATTCTTAATAGCAGATACTGTATTTCTTTCTAATAGTTTAAATTTATTCACAAAGCATAATCCAAACATGTCTTTTTTAAAAAGAGAGATTCAAAGGTGTGTTTTTCCCACTCAATCACTTTCATTTCACAACATTTCACAAATAAAAAAACAACCTGTAAAATGTTTCAACTTCAACACAGTATCTTGGAACTTGTTCTTCCAAAACATTGGCTTTTGTAGCTGTTACTTAAAAACACATTATTTATACAATAATAATTAAAAAACCCTAAAAGTGATTTGTTTTCCTATGATGTGACATCGTTGCACAGAAAGGCATGAACTAGGTTGACATTTCAAGTTCCCATCCTGTTCATATGCCATTGTGAAGGATCCACAGTTTTACTGAATATATAAGCCTTTACTCAACAGGAAAGCTTTCTGGTTTGGTTTACGCCCCAAGAAATTGTACAGCATATCCATCCCATCCAAAGATCCTCCAGGTTTCAAGATAAGATTTCTGTATTTCATTCCAGCCTGATAAAAAAACAAAGCAGAACAATATTTCCTGTTTATGCAAAGTATCTAAATCAATAGAAAAAAGAAAATATAATCCATTGAATATAGGAGGAAGCATACTGTTCTTCCAACACTACCTCCATACTGAGAACCAACTACCAATGAGTATCAGAGAGACAAACCAGGGTGTTTGTACAGGGAGGACTCATCAATTTCTGGAGAGGAACCATATCTCATGTGGCCTTATATGGCAGAATGCTATTCAACTAGGCATGCAAAGGGCAAATTTTGTGCAAGTCCCAGGGAGATGGGCAAAGTGAAGGCACAACACTACTCACCTCCATTTAAGTATAGGGAGATGTACAGAACATCTCCAGAAGGTGACTCTATTTTACATCTGCCCTCCCATGGAGGTAATGGAAGAAGTCCAGGGTGTGTGGGATGAGGGCATCTAGGAACTGAGGCAGTGCCCTGGAACTGTGGACTGACTGAAGAATGTGGACTGGGTAGCCACACTCTGGAAATGAACCCAGAGCTAGTATGGCATGAAGAGAAAGACAGAGACAGACAGATAGAGCGAGATGGATATGGCCCTCGACAGGTCCCCAAAGCTCATTAAGTGGCCTTCCAGCCAAAATAATTGCCCAACCCTGCTTTAAAACACTGTACTAATTGATGCATTCTGAAAGAACAGGCCCTGAAGATTACCTAAACATGTCTTACTGTGTTCACATTCCTTGAATCTACCTAGAATATTTTAAGCAGCAAGGGGTTTTTCTGTGATATCTTTTACTGGACAAACTGTCCTAAGTTCTCTGTCAATGACACAGCTGGCCTATCATAAATACCCCTTGCCTCCCATATATTTTCTGGACCATCATGGCGAAACAACACTGAAACCCTGCCAGCATATTTTGGACCCTGAGATATGAAGTGAAAGAATTATTCTGCATGTGTAGTTCTGGGATAACTTTGGCTTCTGACTAAAAAAATAAGACAAGGTGTTATCTATTTTCAGGCCTACAAAACTTCCTAATTGTTGTCTTGTGAAACCAAGTAAAGATCCTGTTTATTGTCTGAATTCAAAGGTCTGAATTTCAGAAATTCTGAGGTTATCTTTGAAAGAAACTTACACATTCTTATCCTGTTTTTCAACCACCTTTCAAACCTATTTCCTGAGCAAAGACCAAGTAAATGGGTATTCTATAGTGGTTTCAAGAGAGGTTGGGGCAGCGGTAGAAATTATTTCTACTGATCTGTGGGGGAGAAGGTTTAAACCAGAGGTGCTCAACCTTGGTTTATGAGTCAGATCTGACCTGCGTAGCCATGCCATCTGGTCTACAGGGGTCCCTATGGACCTGAAAATTTGGCAAGAAGGGGAGGGGGGTAGAGGTGGCAGCATTTGCTGTTCCCTTGTTGTCATATTTCCCATCAGTGGGAGGCTTGAGGGCTGGACAGCATGCTAGATCAGTATGTGAAAGTGGCTCAGGGTACAATCCTACAGGGCAGGGCCGAGCAGAGGCAGCACGGAGCTCCAGTTGAGTGGTGCAGACACTAAGGATGCAGCATGGAGTCCCAAATCATGTGGTGTGGGGCTGAGGGAGGCAGTGCAGGGCCCCAGTCTGATGGTATGGCGACAAGAGAGGCAGCGCAGGGCTGAGGGAGGCAGCATGGGGCTCAATCCAGTGGTAGGCTAAGTGGAGGCAGTGCAGGGCCTCATCCAGCCTGCAAACAGGCCCCACACCACTCATTCAGCCCACCCACCAAAAGGTTAACCACTGGCTTAGCCCCATTATCCATGCAACTGAGAACTACTACATAGCTATCTACGATGTTATTCAGGTATGGCTTCTCTTCCCCTGGAAAGAAAAAAGGGGTAGCAACTCCTGCTCTCACTACCAAATGAATAATGTTTCAGTTTTAAAACCCTGGAAACTATACTGCAGCTATGCAAGCTTACCAACTGCTTTGGCTGATGTCTTGCTGAAGTGTAAATTTGATCAAGCACTGCTTATATTTCACTATTTGTATTAATCTCCTGAAGTTTAGTAGAGTCTGGAGCTTTTACCATTGTGAGATTAAAGTGTAATTTGAATAACAGCAGCCTGTGGTGTCTGTGGAACAGATCTTCCACTACCTCACAAACAGCCACATCTCCCAGTTCTTGGGAGAACAGAGATTCCTCCAGACAGTTTGTAGCGATGGAAAAATCTACCAATTACTAAAGCTATACACAGAAGTCTTATGAGCAATCATTAAAAATACAATCTCTGAAGCTGAAGCAGCTTTTGTAATTGTTACTCAGGCAGGGAAAGAGCTTTCATTCTGACAGGAAAAGGTAAGAAGAGGTAAGCCAAGGTTTAAAAAAACATTTCTTGCAATATGCTAGTATCTTCTTTCTTGTCATGAATTCCTGAAAAATTTGAATCTAGGTGTAATGATGTGTACAAGAAAAAAAAGACAAAACATCCTTGTTTATGGGAAGTTGTTCTTGGCACAATATCTCTAGAGAACAATAACAAAGGACAGCAGGCTAAACAGATCTATTCTGAGGCATGAGGCTGTTTTAAGAAAAGGTCTGCTCTAAGTAGCTCTCACACAGAGGGAATCCCTCTATAAAGTTACATGAACAACTGAATAAAGATGCCTCATGCTATAGTGAAAACCATTTTTCCCTCTATTTTAGTTTATAGAGAAATTTTGCAGGAGGCCTCCCTAGATAAAGGCACCAGGAGTCAATGTAGTTGAAATACAGTGACTATCTATTTACTAGTAGCTTAAATAACTGGGCAGATGGATCAGTTTTAAACCTCTCATTTACAGACATAAAAGCCCTAAATAAAAATCAAAAGATGCTTTCATTCTTAGTGGTATGTAGACATCCCAGAGCAAATGGGAAGTGAGGTTTGTGAGATTTTGAATAGTCCAAAGCCCTAAACTAGCCTTTAAATACACTCAGAAAATGAACTGTATCTATGTGAGGAGGGTGCCCAAGGAACAGAATGAAAGCCCTAGGTAATACAGGAAGTCTGGCTCAATGTGCTCCTCCTCTCAGCCTCTACATCAGATCTGGCTATATGCACCTTTACCCTTGCTCCTCCAAGGACTCTTCTCCCTTAACTCTTCCTGGCTAGAGCTGTGTGTGCAGTAGGGGAGGAGGCACATATTGCAGCCCTTCCTCCTCTTAAAAATAGGGAAGACAGCTCTATGAATTCTTCACCCTTTCCCCAGTTCCCAGGTTGAGTGATATGCCAGGGCAGGGGGGAACATGGAAAACAATCTAGAAGTAGAGAACAGGGAAGTGGAATGACCTGGAGTGGCTTGTGCTCTTTCTGTCCCCTCCTCCTCCCTTTCCTATAAGCCTGATTTCCAGTTACTGAGGGGAGGGGAAGACAGAGACCTCTGCCTGCTTCCTCAGCAGTCCTAGTCAGCTGCTGTACGGCAAGATGTGGGCAAGTGAGGCATAGCAAGCAATCACATGGGATTTATCCAAGCAGGACTGGAATTTGTATAAGGGCTAAAGCTTATACCACTGAGAGACAGACTTCACTTCAGTCTAAATACTATTTCCTTGCAAAAGAAAAATATTGCCTGAGCTGACAACATGGTTAATCATGGGTCTGCCTAACAACTGTCCTTCCTTCCTGCTCTGTACAAAAGAGGTCATGTGGGCAGAAAGGGGTAAATGCACACTCTATAGCAAATCTATAATTTAAGCTTCAAAGCCATTTTAGAGAAGATGCTCAAAACCAAACCATAAATGCTTGAACTGGTCTCATGGAGTAATTACTTATATTATGTTGCAAAACGGGAGGCTCTGAATAGATTAAATTTTCTAAGATGGGTGGTAAGCAGAAAATGAAACAGATAAAGTGCTAGTATCATAGCACTTTTTGCAGAAGCAGAATATACGTTAGCTCTTGTGATGAGACATTTTTCATAAAGTGCCACAAGAAAGAAAATGAAAGCAATTCAATACCATTTAGAAGCCTTATGCAAGTGTTGTAAAATAGTTTAAAATATGTAACTTTAGTTACGGTAGTGTAAGAGTAATGTTGTAGCTATGATGGTCCAGAAATTATGCAAAAGTCAAGGATTTATTAGGGTGACTATATCATTGGGATTAAATTAGACAAGGCATTAGGCTAGGCATTCTTCGTTATGTCTCTGATCACAGGAAGCCAGGCTTCCCCTGACCAGAGACCTGATGCAGGAATGCCTTGTATTTCAAAGCCTGCCTAACCTTGGACCAACTACATAGTTGGTCCAATAAAATATATCACCCTTAGAAATTTCTGTCTCTTGCATAACTTTAGTTAAGAATTGTGTAAATACAACAGCCCTAAAAACCCCCACATGTGATTTTTTACTATCATGTTAATCATTTGTTAACAATTTTCCCTGCTGTCGTGGATGTGGCCTAAGATGTTAAAATCAACTGGTTGTACAGATTATAATAAAACTAGTTTTGGAAACTATATTATAGCTAATTTGGAAGTACAAATATTCTCCACTAACAGAAGGTGCTCAAAAACCAAGTTCCTATCTTACCTTTGGATTCATTATTCCTTCTTGTTTAAAGCAGCTATAAAAAATATCCATGGAAAAAACTTCACTCCAGAGGTATCCATAGTATTGGCCATCATATCCACCTGCTAAATGTCCAAAAGTAGCTGGCATGTTTGTTCCTTAAAAAGTAGTAGAGAAACCAACCAGTTAAAGTCATGTATATTCATCCCTGCACAAGACTGCTGCAGACTTAGGGTAACATTAATGCACCAGTTTGGAATATACTCCAACTGTACTAGGGTTTTTTTTCTGATGGAATAATATTAATGGACCTTTTAATCTTATTACAAAGTAATTATTTCAATTTCATTAAGTGAATTTCTTTTTTGAATAGCATTACTTTTATTTGCTATGACAAAACCTACTGCAAAGGTACTGTATGATTATTTGAAGCATTCAGGTATGCTGCATAAAGTTTTACCAGGGGTGTACCAATATATCAGTTGGCTATCAGATCAGCACTGATAAAAGGAGAAATGATGTTATTGGCTATCAGCTTTTTTTGGTCGTTGTAGTTGATAATTATGGCCATGTACCTGGAGCACCCTGGCAAGCATGGTCTGGTCCCCATGCCCTGCCACCAACTTGAGCCTGCAGCAGAATACAGGCCCTAGCAAGCAGTGGTGGAGGGAGGAGGCCAGGGAGTGCTGCATCCAGGTACTAAAGGACCATTACCAGCTTTTGTTGGCATGGCAGAGCTGTGCATGCAGCAGGAGCTTGAGTACCAGGGCTGCTGTGGAGATGTTGAGCTTCGCATGGGTGGGGTAAGGTGCTGTGCAAGGGACATTCTGCTCTGCTGGGCACTGGGCGCCTTGGCAAAAACAACTTCTCCCTGATAGTGGTGGGAGCTCGGCTGTCTGGGACCTGCTGATGCTGAGACAGTGGTGTGCTCTGAGGCTCCAAACACACCTGGTGCTGCTGTCCATGCAAGGGTCCAACCCGCCTACCCAGGATGGCAGCATAGGCTGTGCAGGGGGCAGGCCTGCGGGTAGGTGCCATGGGTGAGGGGGCAATGTGCATGGGAATAAGTCAGTCACCGCCTTCCTTATTGAGGACCAGAGCAGACAGGAGGCGTGTGTGTGTGTTATAAATGAAAAACAAACAAAAAAAGGTTTATTTATGTCAGTAGTTTAAAATGCCTTGCACTATTACTAAATATCGGTTATTGGATCAGGCTTGGATGATATAATTAGTTAATTATTGGCTTTTGGCATTGGCCACGAAAATCTTTATCAGTGCACCCCTAAGTTTTAAGTTTACATACCTGGAGTTGCAGGAATTCCTAAAATCTCCACGCAATACCTGGCATATTCATCTGCTGGGTCAAAAGAAGGCTTTGTGTGAAGAGACTGGTCGACTTTGCTCAAGACAATCTGACGAAGGGTTAAAAGACCTAATGGTATAAGAACATTTATTATTCAATGATGAGTTTTTATGGCATCTTCCATCCAAGAATCTTAACATGCATAAAAAATATGTGTGAATTAGGCCACTGAGGTAAGAAACCATTGTTTTTATTTTAACTGCTCTTCTACTTGACTGAAACAAGTAGTTAAAAATTTGAGAGGCTTATTATTATTAAAGGATTTGCTATTACAATCTCCATCTTCTTAAATTGTGTTCTTGAAAACAATTAAGACATCAGCCATTTTTAGTTTCAGTTTCAGCATTTAAACATAGTTTTTGTAATCATTCCAAAAGTATAAACTTTCTTTTCTATATGTTTACCTATCAGTTGTAATTACAGAAGCAGTACATACACATTTAAGGATGAACAAAAATACAAGGGGACTGTGTTCATTCTGTTTTACACAGAATATTGGCTTTATACTTTCCATCCACCATTCTGGATGTTGGAATCCTCTGGATAAAGGTCCGAGGGGAGATGAGCAGGAGTGATGTCACAGTGGGTATCTGCTACAAGCCACCAGACCAGGAGGAAGAGGCAGACAAGACCTTCTTTAAACCACTAGCAGAAGTTTCCAAATCACAGGACTTTGTTCTCACAGGGACTTGAATTACCAAGACACCTGCTGAGAGGGAAACACAGCAGTGTCCAGGCAGTCCAACAAGTTCTTGGAGTGTTTTGGGGATAACTTTGGGTACAGTGGCCAACTAGGGACAAAGCTCTTTTCGACTTGCTGCTCACAAGCTGGGAGGAATTGGTTGAGAATGTGAAGGTGGAAGGTAACTTGGGTGAAAGTAACCATGAAATGATAGAGTTCAAGATTCTAAGAGGAGAGACTCAGAATAAAGACACCAGATTTCAGGAAAGTAGACATTAACAAACTCAGTAAACTCATAAGTAAGATCCCTTGGGAGGTAAGTGGGAGGGAGAAAGTCGTTTAGGAGAGCTGGCTGTACTTTAAGGAGGTTATACTAAGGGTGCAGAAACAAGATATCCAGAAGTGACAGAAGATTGGAAAGTGCAGCAGAAGACTGACTTGGCTAAAACACTGTCTCTTCAATGTGTTGAAACTCGAAAAGGCATCCTACAAAAATAGAAATTTAGTCATATATAAGAGTATTGCATGGGCATATAGGGAGAAAAATCAGGAAGCCCAAAGCATAATTTGAGGTGCAACTGGCAAGGATGTAAAAGGCAATAAAAAGAGATTTTACAAGTATGTCAGAAGTAATGTGTGTCCCTTACTAAATGCAGAAGGCAGCCTACTTAGAGATAATGCAGAGAAAACTGAAGTATTTAATATTCATTTGAATTGTACATGAATAAAGTCAGCCATAAGATGAGGAGGACAATTCGCAGCAAAGATAGGGACTGGTAAACAGCCTAGAGCAGTGGTAAAACAGGTTATGGATCAGAATGTAAGTAGACCATACTGGGTCAGACCAATGGTTCACCTACTCTGGTATTCTATCTCCGATAGCGGCAGGGGTGGGCGTTATACACAGACAGCATCAAACTGGATCTCAGTAGAGTGATCTATCCCCTATTCAATACCCTCTGTGGCATCCACCGTTTATTGGATTAAAGAGGCCGGAGGAAAATCTCCATTTTGTTCAGTAGTCATCAGATAGATCTATCATCCATGCATTTATTTAGTTTCTTTCCAAACCTGATTATGCTATTTGCCTCCACCACCTCCTGTGACAATAAATTCCACAAGTTAACTACATATAAACTACCTTCTTTGGTTAGTTTTAAATCCGTTACCTACCAATTTCAGCAGGTGCCTGCCTCCTACTGCTAGTGTTCTGGGACTTGGTGAACAACAGTTCCCTGTTCATTTTGCCCACACACTTCATGATTTTCTAGTCTTCTGCTCTGTCATATCCCCCCTTGGCTGCCTTCTTTCCAAACTGAAGAGTGTTGGCCGTTTTAGTCTTTCCTTGTATAGCAATTGCTCTAGGCCCCTGATCATTTTAGCTGCCCTTCCCTATACCTTTTCTAATTCTACTAGTTTCTTTTTGAGACGAGAAGCTTAAAAGAAGCATAATTAAGAGAAGCTTGATGCTTTTAAGTTGTTATGTCTGGACAGCAAACATCCTAGAGAACTGAAAGAAGTGGCTGACACAATTTCAAAGCTATTGGCTACCATCTTTGAGAATTTGTGGATGTTGAGTGAGATCCCAGGTGACTCCAAAAGGGCAAATATAGTGTCCAATTTTAAGAAAGGGAAGAAGGGAGATCTGGGGAATTATTGGCTAGTTAACCTGACCTCAATACCTGGAAAAATTATGTTCATTCAAGAATCTCTTTTAAAGCACCTAGAGAACAAGGTGATCAGGAATAGCCACATAGATATACAAGAACAAGTCAAGCCTGACCAACCTAATTTCCATCTATAAGTGACAGGTTCTGTGGATGGGGGAGAGGTATGGATGTGATATGCTTTTATTTTAGCACGCCTCTTGACACAGTTTCCCATGTTATTCTCATTAATAAACTAAAGAAATATAGATGAGTCTCGTAAGCTTGATACATAACTGGTTGGATCAATGAGTAGTCATCAATGGTTCAATGCCTGTTTGGGAGGCAGTATCAAGTTAGGTTCCCCAAGGGTCTGTCCTGGGCCTTGATGGATAGAAAATGGTATTTAGAGGTTTGCTTTTGGGAACTGGCTTGTAAGTAAAGTAGACATGCGTTAAAATAATAGTCCAGGGCAACGGCAAGGGGTAAATGATTTCTAACAGCCTGTTTGTGACAAAGTTTCCTTCAAGGCCGACTGCATCTAAAACTAGCAGACACACAGGCTGAGAAATTGAAGACATGTACCATACTGTTCCATAACATAAGATAAGGTGGCATTAGGTCACAGCATCCAACTGCACAGCCCTTGGGATTTCCGGCTTTGGGGAACAGACCAAATTAGGAAAAAATGGTAAACAGTCCAAATTAGGATGTGTGCATGTGATGGGTTTGTGAAACAAAGAAATATACTGAGAGGACAAAGTGTGGACAGTATGATGACCACAGGGAGCCCAATCAAAGATGCCCAGAGATGAAGAGTCATCAGAGGGGGAGAAAGGGAGGGATTTCAGAGCAGCAAAGGGTCCCTGGGAAGGGAACTCGAGGCCACCACAGACAGAGGGCACACCACCAGCCTGTCTCACACACCCCACTGTGGGGGTGGAGAAGGAGGGGAAAGGGGGATTGGCCTTCGACTTCCAGGCTGCTGACATCTAATATTCAAGGGAGAACCTCAGAGTGAAGTTTGCATACTGTCCAGACGTACCTTCCCTATGTGACAGCTCTAGGACTGGTAGCTATAGAACTGTTTGCATTATTCTCATCTGGTATCACTGTGTATCAATAAAATTTGACTATTACCAAATAGAGAGGTCATGGTCAGTCTGAGGGCTTGGGTCCTCCCGGAACAAGGTATCTGCATCATAAATCCAGTGCCAACAAGCCTGATATTGTTTAATATCTTCATTAATCATTTGGAGGATAGGACTGAGTATACATTTAGCAAATTTGTGGATAATACCAGGTTTAATGGAGCTAAACACACTCTGGAGTATAGGGCTATAATTCAAAATGACCTGGAGGAACTGGAGGGAAAAAAATCAACTGGATGAAATTCATTAAGGGTAAGTGCAAAATCCTGTACTTAGAATGGAATAGCTGGTGCATGTATAAATGCAGGCTGGAAAATGATGGCAGTACCACAGAAAAGGACCCGCAGGGTTAGTGGACCAGAAGCTGAGTATGAGCCAACAGTGTGCTCTTGTTTAAAAAACAACACACTGGATTGTATTAACAATTTGTGAAAGAAGGGAAGTGATCTTTCTGCTGTTTGGCACTCATAAGGCCTCACCTGGAGTACTAGGTAGGTCCATTTTAGGGACCCAAACTTCAAAAAGGATATGGATAAATTAGAAAAATCCTATCAGAGAGCAACAAAAATAATTAGAAAAACTCTGTGGCCACAGATGACAAGACTAGGAATAATGGCCCCAAGGAGCAGAGGAAATTTAAGCTGGAAGAAATTTAAGAAGGACTTTCTTACCATGAGGGAGTTTAAGCACTGGAAGAGGCCACTTTGAGACATTTTAAAAAGTAGATTAGAAAGATGCTTGACTAGGATGGTATAGTCAGGGATGATTCTGTCTTGAGCATGGGGCTGGACTAGATTACCACCAAAGTTCCCTTCCAGACCTACTTTTCTATGATATGATTTTATGAAAGCAATGCTTAAAAATTACCTGTATTAGCTAGTCTAGAGGCAGCAAGTTTTTCAAGGAGGGTGTCTGAAACATGGCTCCCATCTTTATAATGTTTTGACATTTGTTGTAATGGTTCTTTTTCCCACACCCAGTTCTCAAACATCTGTGAAGGAACCTCTACAAAATCTGTTTCCACATTAGTTCCACTAAATCTTGCAAAGTCAGTCTAAAAAAAAAAAAAAAAAAAAAAAAAAA